TCATTGTTTAGAAAAGAACATTTTCATTATTAGTAAGAGCCAACAATAATATGATCCACACATTTACAAGTTTTTTAGTTTACACTTCTATTATAGAGCAGAGTCACTTGAKCCATGAAATAAGAACTAACAAGTACTTAGGCACTATYAGTTCCTAATAGTCATTAGCACTGAACCAGAAYAGTTTATTTGATCCAACAAGCAATACCCAAGAGACCGCTATAACAATAAAAGTAATCTCTTTGTACTGTTCTGGTTCAGTGATAGTGTCTAAATAGTGCCTAATAGTTACTATAGTAAGTATTTAGTTTCTATTTCATGGTTTAAGTGACTCTGCTCTAAGTGCAAGACACTACAGAAAATAAATCAATAATTTAAAAAAACAGTTTGTTACAGCATTGCTAGTTGGCATAGCAGCAGCTACAACAGTCATAATAATATTGAGAATACACTTTGACAAATCCAAAGTTTCCAAATTCAATGTCTTGATAATGTTTTACCTTTCTGGTCATATTTTTGTATATACAAGCATGATGATCTGTTGAATGAATCTTGCAATACTTGAAACCATGTTAATTTTTTTAATCCACTTATTTCATGAAATCTTGATTGTATTCTCAGACATGGAATCTTGTCGACAGTGACATGAGACAGTAAATTATGTCACTTTAAACTTCTTCAGTTTGTCATTCAGGTGTGACTTTCATGGGTCTTGGCAAAATACATTTCAAATATTACCATCAATAGCAGTTTTTTGTCATTTAAAAGCATCATTGAACTAATTTGAAACGAACAAAAAAACAAAATATCCAGAAAATAGTTACGAATACAAAAGTAAAAAAAACCTCTACTCGAATCCAACCTTAAAAAAGATTTATTTAACAATTACCAACTTTTGAAGAAACGGAAAACGTATTTACAAACAAAGATCTGGGCGGTATTAATACAGCTTTCAAAAGAAAATAAGCTTAACTCAGTTGCATACTCGTGATCGGCCGCCTTTCGCCTCCATGTATTGGTCTTTCTATTTCGTTCTTAAATCGGATTCCTTCTCTAAAAGGAAACAAGAAGTAGTTTCCATCTATTCCTTTAATAAAACTGTCAAATTACGATTGAACAAGACGTTCTTATGCCCATATATTCCTTTGTCACAACCATAAAACACTCTTCTTCGACCGCCATTTTGTTCAATAGAGCCCGCACAATTTCAGCGGAAAAAGCAAGTGCGCATGAGCAATTGCAATTTTGGATTGACCAATCAGCGGTTTTTGAGCCGTGTCCATCAAAGCCGGACTTCAGTTCTAATCTAGTTCTAAGCTCATTTCAAGTAACTTAATTTCAAACAATGAAAAACAAGTTTTTACTAACCTCTAAATCTGACGAAATATAAACACGGACTAAAGTAGGACTTCTTATTTTATCAAACAGCTTTCAACCTTTTGACCGTCCACAGCGAGAGGAATCAAAGCAACTCACCTCTCCGCCGGACAATTTCCTTATCGATTTATCTACAAAACTGATGTCCACTTGTCGACAAATAAGGTCTAAAAAAGCAATTCTTTTTGTCGATACTTGAAAATTGTTCTTACTTATACAATGAATATATAAAAAAGAAGAATCTTTGAGATTTTCATCTCTATAATCGAAATTCTAGAGATGAAATTGGCGAACGGGTCAAAGTTTCCCGTTCACTCGGCCAAGACCAAAAACAAGTGATGACGTCATATAAAAACCGATAATATAGTCTGAAACGCAATGCATTGTGGGGTACTACTGTTCCCTCCTCTGACTTCCACATATGGAGGCATAGTAGATGGGCTCCCTGTGTTTTTAACGATCGTAGAGATATCTGGGTAAAACAAGATGGCGGCAGCCTTGAATCGAACGTGGTGTAGAATAGTGACTTCAAAACAATTTGATTTCAAAGTAGTACAGCAYATATCGAGATGCTATACAGTAAGCAGTGTGAAAMGAAAAGATGGTGTAATGAATAGGGTCAAGAAATTTGTTTTTGGTGAAAGTATAGAATTACCCGAGAGTGATTCAGTGTAAGTCAATCTTACATGTAAGCTTAAGCTTAACTACAAAGACGTCGATGTTTTGTCGCGTCTAATCTTATTGCTGGAGTTGAGTTTATGAACATTTAATTTTGTACTCTGAATTCATTGACATTGGTAGATTTTGTTCAGTTGGACGAACTTATTATAATTCGTAAATATCAACAGMACCCCGCACTTAGGCTGCATGCATAAAAGGGATAGTGGTTTCATTACTGAGCAGGACGAACTCCTATCATGCAATGCTGAAAACATTACACGTTGTACTCCAACGTGCTGCCAAGCAAGATTCCCAAAGCAACCCTACACCSCAGCCTGTGGACTTAAGCTTACATGCCTTATTATTAACACARGTTTATGTTTTTATTTGCTTCAGTTACTATGACTTAGAAGAAACTAAAACTCCACTCATTTACTATATGGATCCCAGTGAAATAAAAGAAAAGTTTGATTCTATTATGAATGAAGTTGGCCATGACAGCAAGAATATATCAGATGATCTAATGAAATATAAGGTAAATTATTAGGCATTATTAGAAGTATGATATGTAGCTTACATTTAACATTATCATCAGTTGCCCACTTTTCACATTCTGGTAAAATGAGGCTCTGGGGAAGCAAGAGAATTATTCATTGTATTCCAGAAGCTCTTCATCTTTATTTACTTTGCAAGTGTTAAKTTTAGTTTTTTGTTATAAATTATCCACATTATGTGTACTTTATCTGAGGAGAAAAATCTTTTTTTTCAGATTCTTTGTCGTTGCCATGAAGAGTTTGGTGTGCTCTTTCCCAGTTTTCAACTTAGCAGCATTGCACAGTTGCAGGACATTGAAGATTTTTACTGTAGGGCTAAGCAACCTTCAAAATCTAATACACTGAACATKTTGGACATTGAGAATACTCCTCCAAATCTCAAGATAGGAGGCAAAGTTCCAAGAAAATGACTTAGTTATGGACTATATTATTGAAACAGAAGAATACAGAAAAAAAGTAAAATGTGGAAAATAATTGCATTTCACTTTATTCAAATTCGTTGTGTATGAAAACAGTTAATTGCTTAATTTCATTTCAAAATGTATTTCAGTGACATTATTCTCGTTCATGTTTATGGAAAARAAATTTATTCATATGAATGGAGCACTGCGAACAGTAATTTCCTTCTCTCTTCTAAATATTATCTTTATTTTTGTGCAAAATAAACTGATTCTGATTCTGGCCTAAGAAAGCTTGAAATCAATGTTGAAGGATAGAGACCACAGAGTCAGAGGAAACTTCCTGTATTTTAAAAAAAATAAATAGCTTACAATATGATTTTTTGAGCTATTATGACAATTTATTTTGGTGGATTATCTTCATTATATTATTTTACAACCCAACTGTAGAAATATTTTCCACACAGCTTATTTAGGCCAGTAGAGAAACTAGGAGAACATCAACTTCAAGCTTTTAAATCTTAAATATCCCACTAAAGTCGAATGTGTGTACCATATGTAGGTGATTAACACGCACTTTAAAACTGTAGCTCATGCAGATTTAAACAAAGCAATGTGAATCATTGTAGAAAAGCATGACAACATTAAGTGTTTTTGAACATCTGCAGTATAKTATATGACATTCATAATATTAAAAATCATTTACATATATCATATTTTTATTTTCTTTGCAAGAACATTAAGTATAAGGGTGTAAAAATGCATTACAAAGTCAATAACGAGTGGTTGTGCTATTTATGTGAAGTTTAGTATTACAATTTTTCGGCTGGGAATTCTAAAAATGGTTTTATGCAAATGACTTTGTTGCTGTCTTTACAATGAACAACTTTAATGGATTGACTGTAACATGCCGGCTAATGTCTAATGGCGAAAAAAAGAAATTGAATTGTATTGTATTGAAGTGTATTAATTATTTTATCTGGTCGTAACTATCTGTCTCAGTCACGACGAAGCCGCAACAGACTTGCTACCCGCAGGGCAGTGCTACTAAAAGCTACTACCTTTTGCGTATCGATCCAGAGGAAGATTTTGGAAAGTTCAAAAAAGTAAACTTCTCATTTACCGCCGTGATCGAATGAAACTTAAACCTGTCGTTCAGTATTCTGAAAAGATTGACATTATTTGTACTTTTACAAGCATTTCTTAACACAATGTTATGTTACCAGGGAACTCAAGCTTCTTGAAATTATTTTTTTTAGAGGAATTGGATATACACCTACTTGCGAAAACGTTGTCATAAAAAAATAGGACATTTGTATTTTAGTAAAAAGGAATAAATNCTTTCTGATTGGCTATTCAAAATGCCTTTTCTTATATCACTCATTATTGGCTGTTTATGTTCGTCTATAGGTCGGGATGTGTTCGACACTGTCGGTATGTCCGGATAACCGTTAGGTCTTTGATCGGTTATTGATTTAACCGTTACGATGCGTTCATTGTTTTTATTCAAATATTCCCGAAATTTAATTAAGGTACGTTTTGTCGATTAAAAAGCAACGATATTCTTTGGAATTCTTGTCAGTTGTCCTCTTATGTCTCTCTTGTCCAATGCGTGGTTTTGAGATGCCAACTACTCGTGTAAGAAATTTAACTTGACGGATATATTTAGCGATAGCATTCGATGTTATAGAAGTCTTCTACTCGCCGATTTCTGCAGTGAGCGGATCCCTCAAGAATTCTAGAATGAACTGGATCTACTCCCGTAGGCGGTCTAGGGGTCAACACTGCCGATGACGGCAGGACGGAAGGACATTTTTAAAATAAATCATCAAAACAAAGCAAATACCGACAAACCACAGCTATCCCAGTTTGTGAAACCGTTGAGTTCACGTTTCGAGCGCCATTTTGAATAGATAAGCCACGTGATCAAAACCTCCAAAAATCTTGGAGGTTTTGATCACGTGATTCCAGCCAACGCCAGGGTCATCTCCCCGACGACCGCCATCTTGAAAAGGAGTCGGCCGAGATGGCCCTGGGGACGAGGTTGAACTTTGATTGGCTCCTCAAAGATATTTTTAACGAGCTTTCCGATTGGCCATTCACATAGAGAAAACAAAAATGGACGACAACTTTGGTGTTCAATGACAATGCATTTTTAAAGAACTGAATCTAGGCACAGGGATTGCTAAGCAAATGTTGACATTATTATCGGAAATTTATATCATCCTTCGGGCTAATGAAAACAAGTTTTCAGTGTTATAAGCCTTCAATTCAAAATGGAAAGTGATCAAGATTGTGTGTATGGTTTTTGAAACCTTTTAAGCTAAGAGTTAAAACTCTTTTATAAGCTTAACCATAATGTATCAACAACTGTCTGGATCGAGCTGGCTTTTAAGACTTTAACTTTGAATTATGAAAACTTTTCAAGTCATTTCTGTAAGTATTTTTTAATAAGTTTTAATATAATAGAGTACAAACATTTAATAAATGTGTGCAACACTTTCCACTATTTACTATAAAATAGTGTTAATTAAACAATAGAAAACAATAGAATTAGCATAACACAGTATTTAGTGGTATTTATGTTGCACAGTTTTAGTGTTTGTACTCTAGTGTAAAAATAGTGTTTTAATGGTTTTGTACATAGAGTGTTAACACACTTAATCCGTGAAATAAATATTACTAATTACTACTAAATTGTGTTGATTGACAATAGAAAACAAAGGAATTGGCATAATATAATATTTTGTATTATTTAAGCTTCACGGATTAAGTGTCTTCACTCTATTTCATATAGGTTTAGTATTTAGAGGGGCACAAGTTTATTGGCATTGTATACTTAACTATAATAATTTACGTGTTAAATAAGATCTTTATTATTATATTTATATCATATCTTAAAACAGTTGTTAAGCTTACTTAAAAAGCTTAAATCAGTATCAATAAAATTTTACTTTTCTGAACTAAAGTCTATCTGTGTGCAAATTATTCTTATATATAAAAGTTTTCATGTTCATAGGTCAGCAGGGCATAGTTAATAGATATTAACTATGGTCAGGGCAACTTCCAAACATAATTCAAAAACTGAGTTTGCATATAATTGTATTTTATATCTGCATGTACAAAGACTATTGTTCTGTCAGAGCTTATATTGGATAAGCAAATCATAGTCTGCAGTTCTGTGGACTTCCCCTGTTAGTTACAGTCATGATTAAGCATCTTATACAAGCAACCCTCATGTACTATTGGATGATATTGGTCATATTATTTGGCACTATTATGAGAACAGTGTTAAGCCTGTAAAGGTTTAAATGAAAATCAAAATCATCATGATTTTGATTTTCATTTTAAATGCTTATTCAAGTTTGCTCCAAGTGCTGTAACTAAACTAAAGAAATGATAGTTCATTCATCTCATGAAATAGTTTGTAAGAAAGTTGCACAGTGCATTTATTATTATATTGGTAATTTTTTAGTAAAAAAATAGTTCACATACAAAAACTCCTTGGGAGAGTCTGATAGAACCTGAGAGGCTGGTGGACTAAAACTTATAGTCTATAGTCAAAGCAAAGTTTCTGACTGAGTTTTATCATATTTTACAAACATTAATATAGTAGTAATTGAAAAAGAGCATTTTTGAGTATACTTTGTTTAGGGGAAGGTTGAAGGTCTTTACAGTTTCAAAGGAGAGTGTACATTGATCCAAACATTTCTAGTAATAAAAAAATACATTTATTTTTTGCATTTTATATTGTTACAACAAAAAGACGCAATCAATGAAATTTTGCAAACCACTAGTATAGCTCAAATTTTCACAAACTCAAGCAAACCAATAAATTACTTTATCCATTGTTCTGCATTTATTATCAATAAATTGCTATATTGCACAAAAAAATATTTTAAGAATAACAATGCTTTATCAACCCTTTTCAACGCCCCAAAAGATCATTTTCGGAAGTTTTGTTGCCACATAACAAGCTAGTGCTTAAATAGTTCGCCTTCCGATTCAAAAACAACTCCAAATCTGGTAAAAATAAACTGTAAATAAGGCCTTTTTCAGCATATGAAACKATTACTGTCCGCCATTTTGTCCGCCGTTTTGAAGAAAATCACGTGACAAAATACTCCCAAAATCTGGGAGTATTTTCCAGCCTTTGCCAGGGTCATCGCTGCGACGCCATTTTGAAAAAAGAGCGAGCCGAGAGACCCTGGGGACGAGGTTGTGCAATGATAGAAACCTTCTTTCACACCTACAGACAATTATTCACAGGTTTCTATCATTGCACGCTCAACGGTCGTCTCGCTTCGATGGAAATCCGGTGTCCCAGGAACTTCTTAAAAATGGCTGTTCAAAAATCATAAAATATCCACTAAAAAACAATTGATTCATTGTTATCGAAAACAGTCAGTAGAATTTTGAGTACTTTTCCATAGCACAGCAAACACGCAGTATAAACAAAATTACAAGCCGTGTGGTTGTTAGAAATCTTTGTTATCCGATCCGTGTGCTTGATTGGCTGAAGTGTATTAATTATTTTATCTGGTCGTAACTATCTGTCTCAGTCACGACGAAGCCGCAACAGACTTGCTACCCGCAGGGCAGTGCTACTAAAAGCTACTACCTTTTGCGTATCGATCCAGAGGAAGATTTTGGAAAGTTCAAAAAAGTAAACTTCTCATTTACCGCCGTGATCGAATGAAACTTAAACCTGTCGTTCAGTATTCTGAAAAGATTGACATTATTTGTACTTTTACAAGCATTTCTTAACACAATGTTATGTTACCAGGGAACTCAAGCTTCTTGAAATTATTTTTTTTAGAGGAATTGGATATACACCTACTTGCGAAAACGTTGTCATAAAAAAATAGGACATTTGTATTTTAGTAAAAAGGAATAAAT